AGCCCCTCGTCGACTTTGTCGACGCCCAAAATGGCAAGACTGTCGAATCACGCAGCTCAGCATCCTCGAAAGAAGAGCCTCTCGTCGCCGTAATCATGGGCTCAGACTCCGATCTCCCCGTCCTCCGCGCCGGCCTGGAAATCCTGACCAAGCTGCAAATCCCCTTCACCACGCGCATCACCAGCGCCCACCGCACCCCCGACTGGCTCCGCGAGTTTTCCAAGACCGCATCTCAGACTTCGCTGAAAGTCATCATCGGCGCGGCGGGTGGTGCAGCGCATCTCCCCGGTATGTGTGCGTCGTGGACCACACTTCCCGTTATCGGTCTCCCTGTCAAGGCGAGTGTGATGGATGGCTGGGACAGTCTTGTCAGTATGACTCAGATGCCGCGTGGCGAGCCTGTTGCTACTGTTGGTATTAATAACTCGACTAATGCTGCGCTGCTTGCTGTGCGCATTCTTGGTGCGGAGGATAAGACGATTCGGGAGAGGTTGAGGGCTTGGATGGAGGGGAATGAGAAGGAGGTTATGCACAAGGATAAGGCGTTGTTGGAGGATGGGTGGGAGGCTTATCTCAAGGGTATGGGAAAATAGACGGTGATGGGAAGGTGGTGGACTGAGGGGCTGAGGGGCATGTGACGTTCCGCCGTATTGGGCGGTGAGGTGTGCGTGTACTAGAATACCTCTTTCTGGCCTAAGAAATGCCGTTTCCCTCTACCAATATCCTTATTGCAATGGAACCATGATGCTATGGAAGTCTTATGACATCGAGCCTTGTTACGATGATGATGATGATGATCATCATCATCATCATCATCATCATCATCATCATCATCATCATCATCACTGTTCACTCGAGCCTCAACAGCAGCCTCTTCTCCACACAACACATGAGAGCAACCCTGACTCTTTTCATTACTGCATTCGCACAATTGATTCCATGAGGCTCGCGTTCTAGTGTTTTAGTGGTGCTTCTTTCGCGCAAGAACATCGGGCAGGGAGCTATATCTTTCGAACACATCTTTGAATTCATCGCTCATTTTTAGAAGACACCGCGAGACCACAGCCATAAACCAGTCTTCAGGTGTTTTGGTAAATCGGCTTTTGAATATGCGGATAAGAGAAGAAGGAAGAGCCAAAAGCGCAGATTTTATAGCTGAGGCGAGGAGTGTGACAGCACATCGATTTGCGGATCCATTCTTTTGGACATCTTCTCTTCCTCTCCACATAGCAGTTCCGTTGCCCCTATTTTTGAGAGTAGCCCTTCAAAGAGCAGAGACGAGGAGAAAACGACATCCCTTCGTCCGAAAGTCATTTCAAAGTACAAAGCTTCCTTGTCTTGCCTGCTTGGACATGGAAAGGCTGCCCAGAATTTTCGGAAGTAGGACAGGATTGTGAACAACCCATGAAGATTAATATGGGAGGTGGCTGCGAGAAGAGGAGGACCATGCAAACATCTGTGCCATGTTTTGGAGAAGAAAGAGGGAAGTGTGATGTGTGGGAAGAGAGAAAGTAGGAGGCGGAGAGGCGACTTTATATGCGTCCAAAGTCGTCCGGAGGGCGCACTCATCGCGTGGTTTCCGATATTTTTTGAACAAGGAAGCACAATCTTTTCACGTTCTGCTGCTTCAGCACTTTTCGAAAACCGCCCAATGTGTTCAAAATCGGTACCTGAGGTTTCTCATTCCGTGGGTACAGAGGCGAGGAGACGACAGGCGCATGTCTTCGGTGTAATTGTTTTTGAGAAAGAGGGAAGGCGCAGACATGGTCCATTCACCCGGTTGTTTTGGAGAATTGTATTCAAGTTAGATATGATAGAAGGAAGAGAGAGACAACCGTACGGAGACAGTTTCATACGCATCTCCCGAGGCGGACGCAGACATGTGGACGATGCCCTGCTCTTTTGACGTCGCATATTCTGCTCTTATCCATACGTTACTTCCACGCCAACCAAAAGTCGTGCTTTGAGTAGTATGTAGTATCAAGTTCCAGGCGGAACGCACCATGGTCTCGTATGTTTCCTTGTTTTTGGAGAGGCTCCGCAGGAGAGGCTCTCATAAACCGATGAACAGTAGAATTTTCGTGACATAGTCACATATAAAGGTATTGCCATGTTTTTGGAAGTGGGTGGAAAACTTATAAAACAACTCGCATAAAGACTTGAGTCTGTCATTTGGAAACTGTAACAGAAAGGTAGTCTGTGAGAAGTAGGACAAGGCGAAGAAATGAGAGATTATATACTCCTCACGGGAGCGGGGTAGAGGCGCAAATAGATGATGGATATCTTCTTTCTAGCACTCGTTCATCTTGGGCGTTAAACTTTCCATGACATTTACTTTTCTGAGACGCTGATGTTGTGCGGCGTACGGGCTTTGAGAACATGAGTTTTGTAAGCGTCAATTTGGAGAACTCAACGCCAGTATAGATAAATGAGGGGGACGTGAGAACCAGGATACTATGTTTTAATCTGAATGTACTAAGACAATCTCACGAGGGTGCGTGGAGGCGACAATGCCGTTAAGCGGGGTGGATTGAGATGCTATCGCTGAGCTACGAGCATACAGCGCGCCCACGAGTCTTGATCTCCGCTCGCGCCCAGCACTATGCTGAGCGGACCTCTAAGTCAGTGTCGCTCTTCGTGCCCGTTTTCCAAGCGGCTATCCACATCTTTCCAAAATCATCCTCCCTGCGCCAGCCACACTATCTCTAGGTCCTCGAATTCCTCACACGCCCGAAGACGTTGCTCAACCGGAGGCTGCAGGAATAGTATCCCTCGCCTAATCTTAGCCCTGTTCCGCACGATCTCGAGTCGCCGTAAGCCAGAGAGTCCAGTGAAGACATTCGCGTCGCCGACCTGCAAGTGACATAACAAAGATTCCACCTCGTACTCACGCATCTGGATTGTCCGGATAGCGAGCATATGGGCAGACGTGCGAAATAGTTTGCCCGTGAACTCGCCCCCGACTGATGGTCCATTCAGTACAAAGACGTTGAGGCGATACGCTAAAGTAGCTGTTTCGTTGTAGATTTGGCGACAGGTCTCGGGGAGGTGTAGCGCTGATTTTATTGGCCTGTAGCTTGTTCTCTGTTCGGGATCTGCGTATGTGTATGCCCATCCGCGTAAAACCTTGGAGGAGGAGGAAGACACGTGGAGGCTTATATAGGGATAGCTCAATGTGTACTGTAGGGATGGAGAGGCGATGTCAACGATTAACACAAACGAACTTCTTGAGTCCGAGGCTTACCTGCCATATCTGGTTCCGGAGTTCGCCGGGGAGTTGTAGAAGGCGAGAGGTTGTCGTGTTACGATGAGCACTGCTTGCGTCAGTAATGTGGTAAAACTCAGAGCGGAGAAATACTGACATTGCGGCAATATGTTCAGACATGTGGGTGACATCCACCAGCCCACTTGCTAGGATGACTGCCTTGCTGCTGTTGTTTTGCTGTAGCGACATTGACGCAGAATTATCGGGTTCTGGAGGATGTTCCATGTTGGAGCGTTGGGGCGCGATAGAGATTGTAATGCGATATCCAGATAGATGAAATTCGAGGTTGATTGCAGTTGTGTAGATGGAGCTGTGTGATAGAATGGCTAAGCTGAGCAGCGGTGCGCAGTACTTGACCTGGAAGGAGAGCGCCCATTTCACTTGCTCGAGTAATCAGTGCGCTGATTTCGCCCCAAGAATACCATTCTTGTTTCATTGAAATGTTCCAGTAGCGACTCTTGTTCGATTCTGTATCCATTACGTTTTAGCTACCATATGCCCGTGACAGAGCCTCTTCTTCCAGACCCAATGAGATTCTGACTTTCCGAGCCTGATACATTGTTGAAAATTGCCGTAGCGACCCCGAGTACCGAAGAGTACACGCGTAAATACCTATATACCACTTGAAGCCATCGCAAGAGCTAGCTGCTCCATGGATCATTTCCAACTAAAAGTCAACGACGGCCTATCCTCTCGAACCCGTATCCGCTGCTCCAACAGCTTGCGGTAAAACTCGGGTCCTTTCATGGCGCGGGTTCTCTTGTCGTATGGATCAAGGTGGTCGAAATCGTGGAACCCGTCCACGGCGCGGGGAGCGAGTTCCAGGTGTGTCAGACGTGGGAGCAGTTGAGTGAAACGATCGCCCTTAGATTGGAATGTTTGATACAAGCCTTGACTATCGATAAATAGACAGTGACATGTCAAGTCTCGCAAGCATGCCGTAGACATACGTAGGGTCTCGATGTTTCGTAGAAGCGCGTGCTTCGAGAGCAACCGAAGCTGGTAATCCTGACTGACCTTGAAAGTGGCGAGTGAGAATATCAGAAAACGCGTGTCTGAGTGGATCTGTCTTGAGGTTGCTGGTAATTGAAGGGCAATATCCTTTATTTTCTTGCCCTCATCGCTTATGGGAGTCCCACGGAGCTTTGATTTTGTTCTGTCACTGTCATGACGATGTCTTATCAATATATAGGCGCAATTCATGGAGTATTCCCAGATCTGGTTTCGGATTTCGGGCGGTAAGCGTAGTAGAGGTGAAACAGATACGTTGCGTTGTGAGCTGTTCAGTTAGCAATGTCCGACTGCAGTGAGTTGATTAGGTATCTTACATTGCTAGCTTGTCTTCTGGCACCAGAAAGGTATGTTCATCTTCTTGGTGCGAAGGAGACAATGTGCTCTCTGACCGCACGCGCACCAGGTTTTCGTTAGCCGCCTGCATTGTCATTCCGTGGCTTTGTGTTCGCGAGCGGTTAGGTAGCCTTCAGGCGTTGTTGTCGCGTGATGGGGAAGTTGCAATCTTGCGAAGTTGTAGATGTAGAGCTCTAGCAGGCGTTTGTCGTCGAATTTGTGGGAGTTTTGGTATATGAGATGAGTGGGATGGGGAAATCGGCAGGCTTAAATCATGTACTAGCTCCAGAGGTGTACTTTGGTTGAGATTTCCGAATTTTTGCCGGGAACCAACTGCAGCCAGGGCTTACAATCAAGACGCTCCGGGTGGGTGTATCCGTCTAATATTCTAGGTATCTTCTTTGGAAGCCGCCTCTTTGTTATGATCTTCCCTCGACTTCGCCTCTGTATCTTCCTCTTCCTCTGCGTCCTCATCACTCTTCCTCAAATAAACAACCATCCCATTCAGCGCATTCCCATGCTTTTCAAACTCTCTTAGCGCCACCTTTTCTCTACCCTCTATCCACTTCTTGCCCACCTCATTGCACTCCTCTAGCCGCTCTTTCTTCTCTTTGGTTTGCGCATACACACTATAGTCATCCAGAATCTCGTTGCCTACGTACAACACCGGGTCTTTCGATTTGAGGAAAGTTGGTAGGAGAAGGAACCAGTCCACGAAAGGCGAGTAGACGAAGGAATTGGACGCAATGTGGGCCTGGAGATCGGAGTCGAGGACCGTGATGGAGAAGTGAGATAGAAATTCGATGTCGAGGGCTGTGAATGCTGGGTCTTGGGCGAAGCACTGTATCTTGATGTCCTTGTTTTCGTCTTTGACTATTCTGTAATCAGTTCGGGTACATGCAATAGATAGAGACGATGACATACGTCGCCCGACTACATCGACAAACAGTACAAGCTGCCACAGACTCCTCCACCGATGTGCCCAATCTCGACTGAAACTGCCGATGCCAATGCATACCGCTTCTTCAACACCCCATTTGCCATCAGCGCTTCTCTTCTCCACAATCTCTTTGACTTGCTTCGCAAGCAAAGTATCTTCCCACCGCTCTTCAAGGAGGCGAAAATCGTCCAATAATTTCTCTGCCGTTAATTCCTCCACAATCCTCGTAGGCAAGGACCCAGCATCTGTCTCCTTCTTTCCATTCCCATCAAGCGGGATACTCGCCAAGCCATGGGTAATAACAGTCCACCCGTCATCACTCTGCACCTCCTTCCTCTTAACGCGGCCTCTTCCTTTCTTACTCATCTCGCCTCTACCTCTTCACACCCGGCTCGTTGCTCAGTCTCGGCAAAAACCAAAGCGCATACTCCTTCCACCACAAGCGCACCTCAAACCCACAATGACGCACACTGCACAAAAAGGGTTCACCGATCGTCGCGTCGTCGACTTAAGGTGCGGCTTGCATGGGCGCGTAAGTAAGGCGTGGCCAAAGTATCGAGGGCGAGGCGATGACGGGAAGGGACCACCTGGGCGCGTAGAAAATCATCGTGAGAGGCCAGGGTCTGGTTGGGTTTTAGTGGGGAAAGGGAGGCTCGGAACGGGATTTCCGATGGCGGAATGGCGGCGACCTTGGCTGTGGCCCGCAAACTACAGTAAAGACCGAGTGGAAACTGTGCCTCACTTGATTAGGGATCTGCTATCTGGCCTGCAGCTGTAGTTCAAGCCATCCGCTCACGTCGGCGTTGCGTATGCGGATCAGGCCTCGTGCTGACCGCTTAGATACACAAGCTATTCTCTGTTGCAGTCGATATAAGCATGACAGCATATAGCTTACAAGTGAGCGACTAGTGGAAATGCAAGTATTGGGATTATGGATGGTATTGCATGTGTAGCTTCTGTACATCATACCGCACAGTAACGTGTTATGTGCCCCTAAGAAAGACCGTCATAGCTGCTGAACAGCTGGTCCACCAACCACCCAGATCAAACCACCGCGTACGCTCCAAATCGAGATCGTCGCTTCAAAAGAGACCGGATATCTTTCGCGCCAAAACTCCTTGCCCGTAAAAAGACTATATTCGCAGATAAAGGTCAGGTTCGTGCACTAGACGACCCATGTGATCCACGACGCCGCTGCAAGCATTGCCGGCACTATGATCGATGCATAGGTGTTAACGACCATGTTGTGTGGCGCTGGCGATGATGTTGTCGAGTATACGATTTGGAAGCCAATGTGATCGTCGACGTTTGTTGTGTTAACGCAGTTTGAGCTGTTGACTTCGGGAACATCCTCTGGTTCGGCGAAAGTGATGTCGGCACACTATTGGAATCTATTAGCAACTATGCGGCTGTCATGTTCAGGCGCTTGCACTCACGTTGTAAAGAGCAGCGCCGTGTTGCGCAAGCTCAATAATCTGGATAGTCGCGTTGTCTCCAACCTGGGGTGTATAGTTGGCAGGTAATGGGACTTGCGGTAGACAGAAGGAACCGGGGTATTCTTGGTTTGTAGGCCCTGTTATCTGGAAGACTGGCACCATCGTGTGCGAGTAGTTTAGCGGTTCGTTGCCGTAACCCATGTTGACGTAGAACATGGCGAGCGAGTGGCCTGGGAACCATCCGGGTTGGATTGCGACGGCGCCGCCGTTGACCGGCCACTTTGTGCGATTTTGCGACATCGGCATGCCACCACCTAGAAGTTCATGTTAGTTATCTTCTCCTGCGCGGAATACCCAATCGGGAAAACGTACATGGGTACATCCATTGCATGCCGTATGGAAATCCATATGTGCCGGTGTCTTCGTGGTAGTTGATACCAATCGAGCCATCAGGGATCGATGGGTCTGTGTCAGACTTGGTTCCGTTGGTGTGGATGTTGTTTCCTCTCCATCCTGGGTAGACGATAACGGTATGTGCAGTAGCGAGTGACCTCTTTCGCATCCCTTCCATATTTAATGGGCGGATTCAGTCATCGTGTATCTCGTGTGTGTTGCGGGAGTCGTGAGTGGCTCGTCGTTGATGGGTCATCGCGGTACCATGGGATGGGATGGGATGGGACCAGAGTTCGAGATTTTCGCACACACTGTGTGAGTCAAAGGAGAGTATAGAAGCTTCGTCTTCGCAACTCTGCTTCCTCTCTCATACACAACACACAAGATGGTGCACCTCACTCCCCAGTCCGTCGCCCTCCTCATTCAGAACCCGAACAACCCGACTGCAGCCATAATTGCCTTCGCCATCTTCTTCAACATCGTCGCCACCGCCCCTCTGGCCGGAAATGCCGCTCTCGAGCGATCAGCTATCTTGCAGGCTCTCTGGTATCTCCCCTGCCAGGGGCCATATGCGGAGCTTCTGCGCAACTTGAAGATGTATGCCCACCATGTGGATACCCAACAAGGTGAGTACTCGCTACATCTTGTGCGAGTCCTGCTGACGTCTTAGGACTCACACCAGCAGCCCAAGCCTTCATCCGAAACGAGCAGGTGATAGTACATAGGCTGCTGACAAGGATGACACTCTCTACATACCAGCCTACTCCAGAGGAGTCGGCTTTCATGCATCAGGTGTCTTTCTCTGGCGACGTTGAACGATGGACGAGGATGAACTACATGCTCGCTCCGTACAACGTGCAGGTGCTGATGCGGACGGATGCATAAGGCTTGAAGGACGGCACCGAGGATGCAACATCGGATGGACGATAGACGATAGAACGTATGAACATTTGTATCGTGGATGAAGCGTTTAGAGCGTGTGTGACGTGTATCAGTAGCGAGTGACCAGGTAGCGGCGATAAAAACGAGCTCGGTAAAACGAAACATTTTGGCGGTGCGATGTGGAAAGCAAAGACTGTTGCGTAGCGGAAGTCCTTGTCTTTAACGATTCAGTGACCCGTCAGCTTTGGGGTACACGATTTGATGGCAGTCGACGCAGAACGGGCAGCATGCGGTGGCGGGGGGCATCAGCACTTATGGATTACGGGACTTGGCCTCGAGGGCCTCGTGCAACCATGGCATTGCTCGCCAAAGAGACGCTTCAGGCGAATGAACAGAGCAAAACGGGCCCGCCAGCATGGCCAGCCTTTGCATGTCAGCCCTCGAAGCATTGAGTAGGCAGCGAATAGGCACGTCGCTAGCATATTGAATCTACAGGGGCCAGCGACCACTGAGCTTCGCGTATGCAGGTCTTGTCGGGCGGGAGGGAAAGCCTCTGTCGGCGGAGCGAATAGCGTCCGAGGTGGCCATGCGCATGGCGCCTCTGATTTGCAGAGGCGTGTGATGACTTTGCAGAGTCTCGGCAGTCCGGCCAGGCACCTCTAAGCGCCCAACTACTCCAGAGTCCACATGCCCACCAGCAGACCGCGAGGAAGGTTTCCGGATCTGAAAAATGCCCTCATCCGCGCGACTCGGCCGTGATAGTGTGACCAAGGCGTGATGCAGAATCTTGAAACGCCGCAGCTCCACCGCGTAGGCGACGTCTGTGTTCGTGGGAGAAGAATGCTGAAAGACGCAGACAATCGCGCGCACAGTCAGCTAGCCGCCACTGGCCCCCAACGAACGGCGATCAACGCCCTCGCCGCAATATAATCTCCAGCCGTCAACATGCGCATGTTTCTATCCTCATATCGCTGCATGAGGGCTGCAGTGCAACAGCTGGGGAAGGCCGAGTGTCGACGACGCTGATTGGGAGCTTGTTTCGCCGCCCCTGGTCGCTTGGAAGTGTCCACTGCGCCGGGACGAACGAAGCCTCCATTCGCAATAACCAATTGCTTGAAAAGGCATCTCTTCTGGGCCCGCGTCGTGCCGAGCGCACCAGCACACCATCCGCGCAGTGCCATCTTTCCTGCGGTTCGCTGCTAGTGCCTGTCTGTACGGCGCGAGGTACCGCATTCGTACTCCCCTTGCTTGAGTCAAACGTACATCTTTGCGCACTGGAGTTAGCAGCGAACAAGCATCGCTTTAGCCAAGCGCCATGAGATTGTCGATCGTGTTGGACGCAGGGTGCACGGGTTCGTTGATTCTGGCGTCCGGGATAACGGTTGCGTGAGGTACGACCACTGTTGATGCTGCCAAGTGTGGTGCCATGAGCGCCTTCCTCGAGCACTGAGAGACCATGGCCACCTTCCTGCGATGGGGCTTCTTGCCTCGTCACTCAAGTCATGCCTTCCAACATCGCAGGTGTAAACAGTATCCACCTGACAGGTCTTCCTGGCTCTGCTGGTCACCAACCGTCCTGCATCGATATTCTTCGGCCCGCGGCGTTCATCGAACATTATTACTCAGTTCGATTTTAACTTCGATCACCACCCGACACCAGAGCTACTGACATGTTGTCGCTCGTCCCAGCGCGGAAGAGAAAGGAAGCCCATAATGCGATACAGCTATCTCGTGATAAAGGCAAGGTTCGCGTCATCGAGCGATCAGCAGAAGGCTACTCCAGCGGCTCCACGAAGAACCTACAGGGGCGCAACAGCACCCCTGCTAGCCGTACCTTTACTACACTTCGTCGTGGAAGCATCAGAATCTTCTCAATCTTCCGCAATGGCAAGAGTTGCTACCCATTTCTGCCTGGTACCTCTTGGCTTCTACTGATAGTACCAACAGGTTCCGCTCCCAGCTCCGGCGAGGCTACCTTTGGTAGCACTGGGTCAACGGTCAACAAACTAGCAGACGTACCACGTGTCGATAACATCAATTCCTACTCCAACTCTCCTCTACAATGCCCTGTCGTTCCCGATGTACCTATGACTCTACCAGCTCTCTCCCTAGATCCGGACTCTTCATCGTTACTCCAACTCACAAACGCTGCCGTCTTCGATGGTGAATCAGAACCTATACCAAGAACCCGCACTCCGCCTCCTACACCCATGACAACAAGCTGGTCGACACCAAGTCTCTCCCAGCAACTCACCGCCAAGATCTCCAACGCCCTAATGAACAACGATACGGTGGTGCGTCGACCCAAGATGAGTTCTCGGCCAATGGTTCGAACAGACCATTTCAAGCATCCAAGCGATGACCAGCGAACTACCACCTCGCCCAAAAGCGCCATGTCAGAGGTCCCTTCGCTTCCATCAAGTGTCCTGAGCCCGTCCAGCAGCGTCGCACCGCTGAGCCAGTCCACTGCACCGACATCGTTGGTCTCATCAGGCGCGCCGCTATCTGCTGAAACCACGTACCGAAGTCAGAACGGTCGCCATATAACCGACAATCAACCTGCGCTCTATTGTGAGGCGACCCCAGAACGTTTGCCTCCAAGATTCCTTGTCTTTCCACGTCAAGACGCTCCGCGACTGTGTGAGCCTTCCGTTGCGACTATTGAGAATGCAGCAGCGGCGAAGATCTTCTTCGAGTCCCACTTCAATCAGCTTCTCGGTACCAAGGTTACACCACGATCTATGCGTCGCCGCCAAATGGAGCGGAAGGTATTCACCATGGCCATACCGAACGAGCAACGTCACTCCAAAAGGCGAGAATAGTATCTTGCAGAGACACATCATCTGCGTCAAACCCGTGTCATGAAGTCGAATACCATAGCGCGTCAGACGATGAAAGGCGTGCACATCTCCAATTACGACATCGTAAGAGTCCTCGGGAAAGGTAGCTTCGGTGTTGTGCGTCTCGTTCGCGAGAAGAGTGACAATTGCGGCAGTCTACGCGGAAGCAGCTGCAGTATGGGATATCTCGATGGCTCATTGACGCCAAAAACTGATAGGCCTTCCCCGACCATCCGCAGACAAAAGCAAGTCTTCGCCATGAAGGTCATCAGGAAGTCGGATATGCTTCGCAATAGCCAAGAGGGACATTTGCGAGCAGAGCGAGACTTTCTAGTCGCGTCGGAGAATTCGCGATGGGTGGTTCCCCTTATTTCTGCTTTCCAGGACAACAACAACCTCTATCTCGTCATGGAATACATGATGGGCGGCGACTTCCTGGGCCTCCTTCTTCGCGAAGATATCCTCGATGAAAACGTCGCAAAGTGGTATCTCGCAGAGATGATACTGTGCATTGAGGAAGCACACAAGATGAACTGGATCCATCGCGATGTCAAGCCCGACAACTTCTTGATCACGTCGTCTGGCCATCTCAAGATCTCCGACTTTGGCCTCGCCTTTGATGGGCATTGGGCTCACAACCAGACTTACTACAACGAGCAACGATACGGTCTACTCCGCGACTTGGATCTACACGTCAAAGGCGACGCACAAGACGTTGAAGAAGACAAGGATCGATCAGACGCTCACAAGACCATGAATCTCGTCAATGGAAGCGCAGCGGCCCGCGGTCGTTACCATACCAGACAAGCCTCAACACATGGACCTATCATCGACTGGTTGAACCGAGAGCAGAGGCGTGAATTCGCCAAGAGTGTTGTTGGGACGAGCCAATATATGGCACCAGAGGTCATACGAGGTGAAAGCTACGACGGTCGCTGTGACTGGTGGAGCATTGGTATCATACTATACGAGGTATGTGGGCATGAGATATTATGCTTGTTTACACTGACGATTCCGTAGTGCCTTTACGGCTGCACGCCCTTCTTCTGCGATAACCGCCAAGCTACGAAGATGCGCATACTCGTAGGTTTGGCTATGATACGCCGCGTTCTGGTGCTAACTCGCGCAGGATCATAGGAGGTGGCTGCGATTCCCATCTGACCAGCGGTATGCCCGCCCCAACATCGACCGCGTCCCACTCATGCCAGTTTCACGCAACGCAATCGACCTCATGATGCGACTGCTCGAGGACAGACAAGATCGTCTCTCAGCTAAGCGATACCGTGAGAACGACTGGGTCCTCCGCGACAAAGCTGCTGGTGCGCGCCGCAATCGTAACGTCAACACCACTGGTCACATTGTTTATCCCAACGATGCCGAAGACATTAAGTCGCACCCGTTCTTCCGCAACATTCAGTGGTCACAACTGCATTTGACTCGTCCACCATTCGTACCACGCGTTCACGGCGGTCAGCCAATCACCAAATATTTTGACGATGAGGCCGAGATCATGAGCGCGTCTGATCATCTCGACTCTTCAAGCTACGAAGCTCTCGGAGGGGTGGCAGACCCTGCGGTAGAAGTTCAAGACGGTGGGGATGATGTCATGTCCCCGGTCCAGCCGAGTGCCCAGCATGATGGTGCAGCTACGCCCGCTCAAGAGGGGTTCGCTAAGTCATTGCGGGACATGAAGAGACGCAAACGAGAAAAGAAACGACCGCGCGACAAGCTTCTTCGAGATCCAGATGTCAGCCAAACTGTTCTGGAGATCAGGAAGAAAGGTGCTTTCGTGGGTTACACTTATCGCAGGCCTAGATTCTCGTTGTTAGACTTGGAGGACAAGATCGCTGCAAGACCTCACATCACACGCGGTGGGATAGTTGCTGCGAGTGCTTAGTGCCGTAGGTTCTTTGTGCTGTCTGGCGGAGTGTAGGGTTTCTTCGGAATGGATTGTTAAGTTCTTGAGCCCATCGGGATGCGCATGGTCCTGTACTTGCTGTTCGATTATCACTAGAAGATGTAATCTCTCTCACCTTGACCGCGATCTCAGTCTCCCACCTCAGCGGTCAGCATCGCATTGAAGATACTACTAGCGCTGTCTGGAGCACAGGTGAGATCTATATCATGCCCGTCTTTCTCAGTAACAAACCTTCCTACACCACACTTTCCGTCTAAACCTCATCACACAACCATTACAGTCAAGCAAAAGCGATACATCCCCTCAACATGATGCTCTCCAGAGCCATTCTGCTATGCTTTGCCGCACTCACTAGCATCACCGTCGGTACTGCCCCCGCAAGAGACCCCAATGACGCGATGCCAGTCTTTCTCAGCCACAAAGGCAAGCCCATACCCGTCGACAAGCCCACTCTCAACCCTCCAGTTTTGGACATAAGCGAGTACCTGGTCAAACAGCTCAAGCACCAGACAGTAAACGAGGTCAAAATGTGGAACGACAGCAAGATCAACTACGCGTGCAAGAAGATCTTCACTAAAGAAGGCTACAAAGTCGAAGACATTGAGATGTTCGAGGTTGAGTACGAAGATGTGAGTTTGAACTGATGTCTGCTGTTGTCAAACGACGGTGTGCTAATGAGTCGGTAGTGCTATGAGAAACCATGGGTCATGTGCCGCCACAAAGACGCCTGGTACCAACCCGACCTCATGAACTTCTACATCGGCCTGATTCCCGTCAACTTGCGTCGATTCAACCGCCACTTCATCGCGTTGCCAGCTGACGACAAAGGCGGTCGAGATATTTACAACGACTACGACACCATTGTCTGGAAAGGGCAAGCCAGCCTACACAACATCATCGCCGAGTCCGCAAGGTCAATGGGCCAGTACGTAGGCGGAGGCTTTGGAATCTGGAGTAAGTATCTCGCTCTCTATTGTAGCTTTTTCTTATTGCTGCTAACCACATCTCACTCCCTCTAGGTTCTGGTACCCTCATGTGGTCCGATCAGACGTGGTCTGACCTCGTCGAAAACAACGCGACCGCGGTGATGAACCCTACGTCTCAGATCTCTCTCGAAGAGGCATTCGCTCAGACTATGGTGCTTGCCCTCGCGGAGTTTTCGGGCATACCTTTGGGTTCTTTCATCCCCGAGTACGAGAAGATTCGGCAGGTGGTCTTCACTTTGTGGGAGAGCTTCATGTGGGTCTTGACTGCTAATGACCAAGTATTTTGTCAGAAGAGGATTTTGGAGGACAGTCCTGCCGGTTTGCCAAACCAGCTTCCAGATATTAAGGTCTAGATTGGCAGGTCTGATGGATCTGGTGGTAGCGAAGGGATGATCGAGTTGGCTTCACAAATGGGTCAAGTCAAGGGTGGGCTTGGAAGCAAATCGGGTTCTTCATGTCTTTGGTGGAGGTATGAACATCTATCCAAATACACCCAATCAAAACTAAAAACTATCCCGTCTCCCTCTCTTCCACCACCTCCTCTCGCCCGTCCCACCAACGCCACGTACAGTATTCCTCCACATATCTCTCAGACACCGGCCGTATACCGCCCACAACACACTGGCTATTACACAAATCGCAATAACGCCCGTAGAAACACCCAGACCGATTGACGCTGGTACGCTAAGACCGCGGTCAGGCTCCGATGTAATTGAGGGTAGTGCGGTGGATGAAGAGGGAGTTGCATCAGACGAAGACGAGAAGAGAGTTGTTTGTAGACTGGAAGATGGGTCTGGAGGAGGCGTTGTAACAATAGATGTAGAGGTAGTGGGAATCACTGAAGATGACTTGTCATCTCCAGTCTCAGTAGTCGATGTTGTCGTTCCCGCGTATGTCGACGAGGGTACTGTAGTGATAGGATTCGGTCTCGTGACTATGGGAAAAGTCTCCAAATCAGTTGGGGTTGTGGGTGTTGCGTTTATGGTAGTCACGATAGTAGTTGCGATAGTAGTTGCGGGACCCATTGATATGATTATTGGGGGGTCGCCACCAGTTTTCGTGGATGCTGACATTGTCGCCGAGACAGCTTGTCAGTGTTGTGATGGGCTTAGGTACCTAGGTAGTCTTGTGGCTATGTGAGGCGGTATGAGGGGGGTGGAGTGCGGCGACATGATGCGGGATTGCGAGAGGGCAGTAGCGACAGAGTACCTAGATTGTTAGGTGCTTGCTTGAGAAACGGAATGCGGCATCTTGTTTGCGCGGTGGTGTGACGAATGAGTGTGTTGGCGTGGAGTTGTTGGGATCGCGTGGTGGTGGGTTGTTTGCTTGGTCGATATAGGACTGGAATTCTTCTATGGATCAAAGAACGAGATAGATTCCTGGAGTTCATGAAGCATCATAGGTATGTATATCTTGACGGGAGCTGAATGTATCGCAAGAACTACCTTCCTAGGTAGGCAGAGAGTCCTGGAGACAGTGGCTGGCAGATGATATGTGTAAAATTTACCCCTACGCTCATTTGTATAATCCAAACCTTCATATCTTTTAAGACACGCAAATCAACTAATTGGTCGTAGTAGTAGTTCATTTGTTTGCATCCGCCTGTTGGTGTTCGGGCAGGGCAGCGAGCTCGGTGCTGGAGTCAAGAAGGTCCGACGAACACGGAACTCGGACGTCACCCATATCCGGACTCACTCAACGACCGTTTGTTTCAAGACTTTCCTTTTGCATATACCCCACAGCTGCAATAACGGAACTACATCATGTCAGCCTCGGACGACCTCACGAATCTTGCGACCCCGCCAGCGTGCATTGCAGACTTTTGTCTGATCCCCCTGGGCACCCCCACAGCATCGGTGTCCAAGGAAGTCGCGGAAGTGCAGCGGCTCCTCAAGAAAAGCGGCTTGGATTATTCGATGCATTCGGCGGGGACAACAGTTGGTATGTGCCTGCACACACCCCACCTTCTGAATTCTGTACGCTCTCGCGTGCGAGCCAACCCTCTTCTCGGCCGGTATGCGGGCCTGGTGGCTTGGAAGGTGGAGGGGTATATGGAACATTCTTGAATGTGCATGCTA